TAACCTCACTTGTTTTCTTGTCTTAAATCCTCCATGTGTACACTACAGTTCTGCTCACTTGTCACTGCCTAACAGTTGCAAAAAACATACATGTGACATCAATCTTTTCCTATGCTTCACCTTTTTTCTTTAGAAATCAAGATGAGCTGGGCCATGACTATGTCTGTTTTCTGAACATTCACAATCATTGCCTTTAATGAAGTGTCTACAGGTGCCATTTAACCATAAATCTTAGAGCTGTTGCTTTTGCTACTTCTTAAATTCCATTTTCAGACACATCTTTGAATGAAATTTCCTGTAGCCCTTATGTGCAAAAGGCTCAGGACAGCCTAAGATGAAAAGAACTAGTTTGTTACTTCGGTATGACTTTTTATTTGAATTGGCTTTGCTTTAAAATAAATGCATCTGCAAAGTGTAATGCAGATCTCTAACTTAGATCACTAACTCCAATCTGGATGCAACTTCTAAGAGTTGTATCTATCCCTACAGATACAAACTGTTTCTATATATAGGGGATATAAATGGGATACAGTTCTAAGAAATCAGTGTTTCTTCTTCCAGAGTAAAAGGCATGTACAGAAGAAAATGAAAACACAAATCAAGAGCATTTACCTATAAAACAGCTTAGTGACGAGAAAGATATGAGGTGATAGAGCTGCAAGGTGAAGATCCCAGGGATAGAGGTATCTCCAACAAAATCTAGGCATTACACACTGATTCAAGTCAGCCTCCAACTCCAAAATCTGGCTTACAGCTTTTCACTACGTATGATATGAAGGCACGAAAGAAACATCATGTACTTTTGAAACTGCCTGAAGTCAGATTTCTTCCAACACAACATATTAAAGCAAATAACACACATCTTCAATGTAAAATTAAGCTATAAAAGGCCAATGATGTAACACATGAGACATACAGCATATTCTTGAAGCTTCTGGGTGTAGCTGCAGCTTTCACTAATGGCCTGATCACAGATCTGAAGGAAGGTGCAGAGGCTCAAAAAGCAGTGTGAAAGCTGATATATTTAAATAAAATTGTACAATTAACAAATAACCCTGGCAATATTCAGTCTTAAAACTCACTTTTTAATGTTACAATTTGATTTGGTCTTTCTATGTAAGGACAAGTATTTCCAGAGAACAGAGTAGTATAGATTGGATGGTAGGAAGAAATTCTTGAATGTGAGGGTGATGAGGCACTGGAACAGGTTGCCCAAAGAAGTTGTAGATGTTGTAGGTGCCCCAACCTTAGCAGTATTCAAGGCAAGGCTGAAGAGGCCTTTGAGCAACCAGGTCTACTGGGAGGTGACTCTGCCCATGGCAGTGGGGGTGGAACTAATGATCTTTAAGGTCCTTTCCAACCCAAACCACTTTATGATTAAAAGCAAAACCCAAGGCCTGCAATGGAGCTCCCCAAGTCATATTTCAAGGCCAGCATGGAGCCCTGTTCATTTCCTAGGAATTTAACCATGTACAGGATGTTTAAAAATGAAAGCTTTAAATACTCTTCAAACGTTCAGCCAAGTAATCTTCAATCTTACCCTATAAACACAGGCCACTGGAAACTGCTGAAAACGTAAGCAAACTTCTCACAGGAGACTAAATTACTTTTTCTACATTTGTTGGGGGAAAACATAATTAAGTTCTATATGAAGACAAGTACCTCAAACAGAGAAATTTTTTCCTCTCGTTCCTGTTATGCTTAAAATTATTTTCCTTGATTTAAAGAGCACTGCTGAATCACTGGCAACTCATTCATACTCTTAATAGAAGCAAGACAGAAAGTAACTGAAGGCCTTTATTAAAAGCTCTGACAACATAAGCCTCGTTGCTCAAGAGGACAGAAAACAAACATCCTGCATGTGCCCAGGGGAGCAGGTTACTGACTTTATATCCACTGTACCTCCCCTGCTTGACACTGGAATTGGAGTTCTGCCTGCATGGCTGAGGGTGCAGCAAGGACAGGGAGACAGAGAGGAACCTGGGTGACCCATCAGACCACCCATCTCTGCCAAGATGCTGCAGTGTGCACTGTAGTTAGTCTTCCTAGGGAAATCCCAGCTGTATCAGGCTTCTCCCACTCTCTTTGGGGGGAGCAGGGAGATATGGCATAGCCATGCACTATTCCTGCAGTTCTGCATCATAAATTTTAGCTGGCTTGCACCAAAAGGTGCTGGGATCCTCTGTCAGGACTGGAAAAAGAGAGAAACAATTCTCAGCTGCCATTAAAAGCAGGCAAGGTGCCAGTCCTGCCAAGAGAAGAGGTTCCCTGCCTGCTCTCCATTCAAGATACATCTTACTGTGGCTCAGTACAACTGCAATTCTAGATACATGTCTGGGTATTTGAGCCTTCTGCACTTTACTGTCATAGCACTAAATGTCATCCCTTAAAATTAGGTCTCAGCCCAATTAAAGCCCTTCCAGGACTGGAAGTTGTGTCTCACCTGAAGAGACCCTTCTCCCCATTTGCAGGGACCAGATACTCCTCTCCCAGCTCAGGGTGCACAGTACACCCACAGGGCTGCTCTGCAGTGGCAGCACCACAGTCCCACTGCACTGCCCAAGCAGGTACATCTCCCCTGCTGGAACCCACCATCTGCATGATGCTCAGCCCAGCTCCTGAGACCACCTGTGACCCACAAACTGAGAGCCACTAAAACAGACAAACAGAGCAAATGGAGAATCACTGCCAGAAATGTGCACATTTTTTAGTGCTTAACCTACTTACTGCTCAGAACACAAACCAAGCTCTAAAAGAGCTCTCTGGAGTAAAACACTGTAGTTAAAAATACCAGATGACTGTTAGGGAAGATCATTCCTATCTTGTGAGCAATAGCTGGAAATTATTATCTCTGTTTCAACGGTACAAACAGCAAAGGAAAAAAAACATAGAAATTCACTAAAATCAGTGGAAGAACCTCATTGATTTTATCAGCAAATGGAATCCAAGAACCTGTAACCTCTCACAGCAAAACCACATTAGATAAGGACTGTAAACATTCCTGGGAAGGACACAGAATCCTTAGGTGGAGAAGTTATGTTTACAGGCAGAAGATAAGCTAAATGGGAACTGGCACAAAAGCACACAAAATGGGGACTCTGCTCCTCAGCCACTGAATCATCTGTTTTGTGCAACACACACGTGTCCAAGGGGCCTGTGCTTCCCTGCTGAAACCCTGTGAATGAACCTCAGGGAGCAGTGCCAGACACATTGCTCCAGCAGAGCAGCTGCAGGTACTCAGCCACATCCCAAGGCACTACCATTGGCACAGCCAGAGGACAGAATTCAAGTTTTGCATTTCATCTGTACCACAACTACTAGCTGCTGAACTGTAAAGGCTACACTGCTCTATGTAAGTGGCATAAGAATCTGAACAAGCTCTGGGAAATATTTTCCATTACTCCAGCTCATTCAGCTTCTTCCTTTTTTTTCCCCCTCCAGTCTCTCTGTATCTTTCAAACTGTTTATTTTTTCAAATGCTTGCCTCTGCTCCCTTCATTCCTTCAGCTGCTCTGTCCTGAAATAAAACAGACTAGTCTTCTGCCAGCTATTTCCTTTTGTCTTGCCAATGTTACTAAAAGAGACTTGTTGGCATGCACCTCCTCCCTGACTGGCTACCCAGAACAGAAGCAGAGTCAGAAAAACACCTCACTGATTCAGATGCAGCTTCATTTTATCATGAAGCTATGGACTGCCACAGCTAACTTCTCTGGGACTCAGAGCACTGTGTGTGATGCTTACAGGTTTTATACACAGCCTGTGAGGACAAAACTGCATCTGCTTTACTCATCTCCCATTTTACTTCAGTATCCTAATCCCCACAACACATGGATCTTGTCTCTGCTAGACTTCTTTCTGTGGTGGGCCAAGTGGTTCCCCAAGAGGAAATCCAAGAACAGAATAATCTGCTCCAGGCTCTGTTCCCTGGAGGTGCATGAAAACACACCAAATTTGTCTTTAGCAGGGACACTCCTTCATTTTATAGCAAGGAAATCACATACCCTCAAACTTCTTTATGATATGCCCCAGGACATACAGTACAAACTACACGTGCTATGCTAAAACCCAGAAAGCCTCACACAGTGAAGGACAAGTCAGTACACACTAATTAGCCCAGTGGCCAGAATACTCCTTTATGTGATCCTCTAACACACAAACCTCCTTATTCAAGCCAGGAAACAAAAAAAACATACAGTAAGAGAGAGATGTCACCAACCAAGAGGGAACAGTGAGCACAGCAAGGATTAAATCTCGTTCCTCTGATAAGCTTTGATGCCAAAGTCAGCTTTGTCAAGACAGATATGTTCTCACTTAGAATCCAAAATTAGAAATCTTCTCCTGTCAGTAGACATCTTCAGCTGTATTTCAAGTTACATACTCTATCCTTTAGCCTCTAGCCACAGCCACTAGTGGCTCTCTGAACTTTGTCAGAGTGTGGTCACAAAAGCATCCAGAGAACATTTGAGCCAGCTGGTCCTGTTTTCCAGGAGAACACAGTGCCATTTTACAGGAGATGCATCTCAGAGTAGATCTGGGCTTCAGGCAAAGGCACTGAAGAAGCTCTACACTCCAGAGCCATGCTGAAGTCATACCAGGAAGAATACAGAGATCTCAGATACATCCCAGGTCATTCAGCAGTTGTTAGCCTTCACTAGCAATGCAGTTTTGGATTCTGGTCATCAGTTCTGCCTCTACCCTGCCCTACACTTAAAATACCAGTATGACAAAAAAGGGACTGTGGAGAAGACTGAACTCCAAAGAGATTCTTCTCAGCAGCTTGGAGACACACAGGATTCTTGCAGCTGTTCCTCTGAGGAAGGAGGGACAAGCAAAGGCTAATGATGCATCCTCAGGCTGCCAAGAGCAGAGAAATGCTCAGGAAGAGCCAATGCCATCTCCAGAGCTGCAGTCTATTACAGGCATAACCCACAGAACCCTCACTCTATGCACATGAAAATGCTGCAATCAACATTCTCCCAGAGAACAAATGGAGTCCTTACCTGTATTTATGAATGATGGCATTAAACAATCTCCCATCACGCCAGCAGGTAGTGAAATTTTCACACCGTACTCCAGCATAACCCTCCGTCGTTTGCTGCGACCACAGGAGCAGTCTCTCCTTGGCAGACATGTCCTCTGACTCTCCAGTAACATGGATATCAGATATCTAAAACACAGTTCAGGTAAATGTTACAGTTACAAGATATCTAAAACACAGTTCAGGTAAATATTAGAGTTATGTCTGACCCATTAAAACACTGCAGAAAATCACACTGCACTACTGAGGAATTTATCTGCATACATGAATATGATGATTATTCATGTGCTGTATCAATATTCTTTCAAGTCTTATCCTTATACACTCTGTCTGTCTTCAATATAAAATACCAAATTCATAGCTTCATAATTTCCTTCGCTTAGCCAGTTCTCAGTCTCTTAAATTCTGGGGACAATATAACACTGTTGCATCAAACACTTTACTTTTAACTATGTCTATTTTATGCTGATAATACAATCTATTTTCATGTATTATTATACACAATGGTTATAGAATTATATATGAAATGCAATGTTTTATATTTATATAGTCACACCTATACAATACCCATATTTATATCATTCATACTTTATTTAGCTACAATGTTCCTCTCTTAAAAGAGAACCATAATGTATGTATATTATATATAATATATGCTGCTCTGGAATTCAATAACAAAAGAGTCATCTACAGTGAAAACTGAGAATAACAGTAATAGGACACAATTTTCTGAGCAGCATTTTAGGAATGACTGAAGGATTATATCTAAAAATTTTGCCTGATACACAAGGTTTGTTTTTATATTACCTAAATATTATCAACTTCATGGCAGGGAAAGCTGGAAAGTACTGGGAATTTTACATATAAATACTACTTTCTAGTACAGTAAATTCTTCCCTAACAAAGTTCAGTCAGTTGGCTTGGAAAACTTCCACTGTACACATAGAGAGTTTCCCTAATTTGCACATGCATCATTACACCTCACGTTATAGAAATTGTGCTCAATGCAGATATGAAGTGGAAGAAGAAACAAAATAATTTACATTATTTTCTATTCAGGTATCCATAAAAACACAAGTTGTGGATGAAGTCCTGCAGATCCTTATCACAGGCCATCATATCTGCTGGCTCTAGGTAAGGGTAAAATACATGCACCAATGCTAGAAAGTAAAACACTTTCAACTGTTCAACTAGCCAATAAATAACCTTTTAAGATCTGCTGTGGCAAAAGACCAACTTTAAATCACTCTGCAAATTTTCTTGTACAAATCTAGGGAACTCATCTGTAGTGTGAGACTTTTTTTTTTTCCTGTGGGTTAAGCTTTATTGTATTTCAAAGCAAGAAAGCAAACTAAATGTTTTTTCAGTAGCTTTAGTTTCTATTCATCACAGAACAACCAGACCACAATATAAATGAAGTCAACCATCACCCACTTATCCAGACAAGGCTTCTGAAAGAGGTGATGTCATCTGGAAGTGCCAGATGTCTAGCAAAAAAAAAAAAAAACAGTTTCCCAAACCCTCTATTTCTTAACCTGGCATTTTCAGAAAATCATCTCTGTGTAATCCTTAACTATCTGGTTTTTTTAATATACTCTAGCATGAGCAAGCTAACAATGTAATTTGCTAATAGCCATTCCTGACTGCTAAGTTCAAACCCTCAGCCTCCTTCACGGTTCATTGACCAGTGATGTAGAGTTCAGACTGGAGAGAGTGCAAACACAGCATGTTTCAGTGCACACAAGATTCCTCTGGAAACAAATCATTTCAAATATCAAGGCAACTTCTGAAGGTTCTACTTGTATCTGTTCTTACACATAAACAACACTTGTAGCTATGGACACAAACACAAGGAGAACTTTTCTTCCTCTGAATGTGACCCACCAGGCAAGCTCACAGTTGAAATTTTCACAGAATCATAGAATCAACCTGGTTGGAAGTGACCTCAAAGATCATAAAGTCCACCCCTCCCGTGGTCACTAGCCCATGGCACTAAGTGCCACATCCAGTCTCAGCTTGAAAACCTCCAGGGATGGGGAATCCACCACCTCCCTGGGCAGCACATTCCAATGCCTGAGCACTCTCTGGAAAAAATCTCTTCCTAATCTCCAACCTAACCCTCCCCTGGCAGAGCTTGAATCCAGAATTTTGGATGTCTTATTACACAATGATCAACAAGTTTTTGATCCAAAATCTTCCCAGCACCATTTGGCATCCTAGTTAGTCATCTGAAGAGAAAGGAATACACTGGACTAGGTTTCAAAACTGAAATTGCTCTTCACATATAGAGAGAGCCCATTCCATGACAGGTTAAGGAACACTAACATTAGCCTGACCTGAAACAGCCTGAGCACTTCTGTCCTCTAAATAAAGTATTTCGGATTCCATGACTAACATTTCAGACTTGTTCATAAACACTGAATTAATATTTTACAAGTATAAAAATACACTGAGGGAAATGGAGAGTCAAAGGGCTATGTTTTATTACACTGACAAACATGAGCTCTACTTTGCAAGATGTCTTATTAACTTGAAACTACTGAACGTGTGGAGTACTACCACCACAAACCAAGGTGTCAGAATGAGCACATCTTTCTTTTGATAACCACATGAGGACAGGATAGATACTCATCCACCAACTATGCATTATCACCAATATTTCTAACATCACTTGCCACAGGGGAAAAAAAAAAAAAAAGAGAAGCACTACTAAATTAGGAATACTAGAATAGAAAATAATTTAAGGGTCAAAGGACAAAATCACCTACTGTTCAAATTCTGTCCTTCCCAGCAAACAGTTTGTGTGAACCCTTCATATACCACAAGCCTTTCATTTTTTCACTAGAAACTGTTACTAGAGGACAAATGTTCCTTAAACACAGAACAAATTACTGAGTTTGTGTGAGTTTGAACTGTTGTTTGCTAGAGATCCAGTTCTCCAAATTATTCCAAAGCCTGTGAAATACAAGTTATGCAAGAAAAAGCAGCAGATATAATTCTCTGTGCAGCCCTTCCATTTCAGGATCAAAGTCTTAATTGGCACTAAACACTCCTCTTGCTTGTAACTGGGAGAACTTGTTCACCTCTGCTACTGCAGGTGTTTCTTCTCTGCCTGGAATTTCCCTCTGCATCACACAGTATACAAAACCCATACACCAAAAAGCCCAATATCTTTGCTTGCACTTATTCCAGTGATGCAGTTTTGAGCCCAAAGAGCAGAGAAGACTTGCCAAAAGAGATCAGTGGTGGTGCTGGATTTCTGTGACTCATTTATACACTGCAAACAGAGGAGCAAGACTTGTATAGATGGTAAGAAGCCTTTTCTCTGATTCCATCTTATCCCAAATGTTTTCAAGCAAGTCTAAACTTGACATATTGTGCTTAACTGCACAAACATATGTAAAGGGCCAGAGATATATATGTCAGTTAGACTGAAACCAGAAAAGTCTGAAGAACACAAGAGTCCTGCTGTAGGCAACACCTTTGAAAAAATACAAGATCAGCTGAAGCAATTGGAAAGAGAAAAGTAAGAATGACAAAGATCTAAAAATATGTGACCTGTCAGGAAAGATAGAAAAAGTAGTCTTTATTAGGGAATCAAGGAAAACCAAGGCGAAATGTGACAACAGTCTTCAAATATGTAAAATGCTGTTGCAAAAAAGAAGGTAATAAATCAACTCTTCTTGGAAGAGGAAAAGAAGTAATGAGTTGAAAATAAGCACATGTGTTTTCAGCTAGGCTCACTTTTCAATACAAAAGACAGATAAGCACTTGAAAATGTACTTGGAAAGTATGTGAAACCACCAATAAAGCAGACACAGAAGAACAAGTATCAGTCAAGAATGGTTTTCATTAAGTTATCTTGCCTTCAGGTACAGAGATCTCCTAGATGACCTGTCCAGAACCTTTCCAGCCCTGGTTTTGTACTTCCATCAATGATTATACATCTCCTCCATTCATCAGCATTTAAGGTGAATTGCACCTGCTTCTTTGGAGTCAGGAGTTCCTTGTGATGGAAGCAAACAATACTATTCCCATAAAGCAAAACTCCTGACTTTTGCACCTTTGCCCTGCAAATCACATTTCAGAAGACCAGCTGGCATTTCTTCAACTGAACTACATAAATAGATAATGCATGATTATATGTCATAGTTGGAAGGTGCCTTGTTATCTTACAACTATTTGCCATGACAAATGCAACAATAAACAGATAACTACCTAGCCAGAAGTATTCCCTGAATATGCTGATTACAAATAATCTACATCTGTTAAATTTAAAAGTAAGTATATTGCCTTTAAGCTGATTCAAATACACGTGGGGTGTTTTTTTTCCTTCCAGATTATTAGCAGTCTTGTAGATGTAAGAAAAATACTGCATCAAAAGCTATGTAGATGCATGGCAAAAAAACATCTGAGGAACCTACAGTCAAGACAACAGTTGAGTACTGGAAGTAGATGAGTGATTCTGTTTACATGTTAGATTATTTTTTTCTTAAAAAAAACCCATTGACATCCATAAACCAGAACTGAAACCACCATAAATTAACTGGAAAAAACAAATATCATGATTGACAACACGATCCACATAAGTCATTGGTTTGGACACAAGCTGAAAACCACCAAAAACTGGTGGTAGTTACCAGGTGGTAGTTACCTTCTGCTGATACTGAATGAAAGCCAAGGCTTGTGTCAGCACAAGACATGGAATATCACAGTGGCAGTGTCCCCTGTAGAGAAGTCAAAGCTACAGCCTTGATTTTCTACTCTACCTGCACTGTGCTAAAACATCACCAAGAGAGGAGCAGGAATCCTGTTACAGTACTGTTGCACAATTTTTTGAGCTTAATGTAAACTATCTGCTCTAAGACAGCTCTGAGTTGGAACAGTACCACAGAGTATTTCCTTGAGGAAGTCACCATCCTGTATTAGGAACAAGGGCTGTAAGAATTAGCCTCAGCAGAGAGTAAGAAACTTTTCTTTCAAAGCTATTTGTGAGCAGTCAGGAGCAACACTTCAGAACACCCCTCTAAGGTGAATTTTGCAAACAGGAAAACAAAGGTAATGCAGCAGCACAAAGCCATAAACCTTTTATATGCATAATAAACTGTGCCACAGAAAGAAACTCATAGGATATGTTTCAGTAGAGGGGACTGTGCTGTTTCAGAGGGTAAAATACTGTATCTCTGTTACAGTGAAAATCAGCCAGCCCCACCACTGAGTTTGCCCTGGTGTCTGCATCTCAGATTGAAAAGCCAAAATGATTTCAGCTCTCAGCCACACCTGAGGCACTGTGTAAGCTGAGAGCACATTACAGCATGGATAAGATGACAAGGTGCAGGGAGGCCAATGATCTCTGTAATTATGGCAAAGAAGTGGTAAAAGCTGAGACTGATAAGTGCAAACCTCATGTGTCAGCTCAGGCTGGTAACAGGAACTTTGTGGATTTGTATAAATAACAGCTTTACTCAGGATATAAAAGACAGAAATGTAAGACACTAAAATGCTTGGCTAGTTCTCAAAAACAATCAGAAGGAAAGCGGTCATGACTTTGTAAAGTAATTAAAAGTCTGAAATCTAGTTTTTCCTGTATTTGTTTACAGGTCAAACCTCAGTGCTCTTAAATTACTTACACTGAGAATCTCGGGTTGAGAAAGGGAACTGAACTGAAAGCCAAACATTTCAGCAACTGAGGCTTTTAGCCTGATGTATCAGTGCTTTTCATCCTCGTACCATTATGCAGTGTTTTATTGATGTCAGTGTTGATGGGGATGCTCAACAGAAGTCTTTTTTTTCCTTCCCCTTTCCTCTGTGCTAACAAGTGTTGCATGCCTGGTTGGAGTAATAACTGCAGCAGTATTAGGAACTGTATTCCTCTCATTATACTGGAAAAAACTGCCATGCTTGGCTGAACAGACAAGGCCTCACACTCTCTTACTCAGCAATGACGTTTTGTTCAAATCAAAGAACATTCCTAAGCTGCTCCTGGATTCCAGCTAAGATTAAGAGGGCAAAGATCTCCATGTGTATTAGGAGGCTATTTGTACAAGTGTGGACTGTGTGTTGTAATTGAGTGCCTTATCTCTGTTTAAAAACGAAGCTCAGAAAAGGTATTGTTTGATTCCTGTTGCAACAGGAAATTATATCAACAACAGAAGTGTAGTGAGCTCTTTGCCACAGAGAATACCTTTGGCATATGCCCACTGCCTCTGTACACTCAACTCAAAGCTCAGATGTCCCTGTTGAGCAAGGGGGACCAGTTTTGGATCAGGTCCTGGTCTCAGGATCACACATACAGATCTCAATTGCCCTAAAGATGATTGGGGCAGAACTGGTAATTAATTAACTGGATTAAAATGGTAAGCATGGATATCAAATATTTGCTCTCCTTCTGATATTCCACACTAAGACAGTACTTTGGTTTCTTCTACTGTAAGAAGAAAATAATCCTATCCTCAGAGGGAGCTGGAATTTCAATAATTAATATTCATAGGTCATCTAGGCAGTTTGGAAGGAAAGATCTTTTAAAAGAAGTGTAGAGCATTATGAATATGATTAATGTTCACTTGTTCTATTTCAAGCTGCCTACATAGTTCTACCATTCTTCAGTTCCTAGGACCATGGCTGAAAAGAATTAGAAATGTTCCTTTCCTTGATACAAGACCCAAAGGAACTACAAAACCATCAAGAGCTGGTAAGAAAATTGACTGCAGATATGAACATGAACTCTCAAAAACTCACTTCAACTTCTAGAAACATTTTAACAGGAAAATCTCTTTCTTAAATTAGGAAACAGGTCAAACTACAGACAGAAGAACACCACGAGGATATATCAATACTCCTAAGTATAGATTTATTACATAGCCTTTGAAAAAGATCAAGTGATATGTTCTGTCCTAGGACAACCTGTAGTATCATACCATGGGGAAAAGGTTCATAAACAGCAAAGTGAAGAGATTTTTGTAATAGAAAAAATACTGTTCCAGTACTTATTCAAGCTAACTTTCAAAGCACTGTGCCAAAATATTTACCTTGCTCCTGTTTGGTGGAATGCTAAGTGATGCCTTTTCTTTTGGCAAATGGGAACGCACAGCATCAGGATAAAACCTCTTTTGTTCAAGAAGTGGATAACTTTTGCTTTCAGAAATAAAGTGGTGCAACTTTTCAGATTTACTGCCTTCTGAAGCATCTTCACTGGCTCTGCAGGAAATTATGTTTAACCCAGTTTCTTCATGTTGTCTGTGAATAGCAGAATCCAAACTAGTTACTTTTCCAGAACAAAGACCACTAGAATTCTTCAGGAATGCTAATTCTCTCCCATTGCTGTCCTCTGAATGCTTCCTTTTCCATGTACAGTGTTTCTCTGAATTCCTCTTGTCTTGTTCCCTCAACAGTGTCTCTGTTTCATCAGACTTGGTGAGCCTCTGATTATCAGCAGGACAGCTCTCCCCAGAAAGAGAATCACTCTTTGCTTCACCCGGTAAAACTTTTGCTTTAACAGCATGAACCAAAGGGTCTGTACTCACAGGCAGAGCATTGCTGGCCACTCTCACTCTCCCAGGGAAGGAATCAGCCAATTCCACACCCTTGGGCTCGATCTTGATGTTTTCTGAAATCTCCACCTCATACTGACTTTTTTCTCCATTTTCCTTATCACGCACCGAGCCTGATCCCTCCTGAATTGATTTCTTCCTCCTTTTCCTTCTGAAATATTTTCTCCCAGGAGAATGTTTAGCTGGACTTAAGGGAGCTTTGGCAGGATCTAAACACCGTTCTTCCTTTTCAGCTCTCACACATCCACAGACGTTCCCCATTTGGCTTTCTGTAAATCACAGCCTCTCGGTCTCATTCATTCCAGCATGTTCAGAGACACTTCAATCCTCCTCAGAAAGTTAAGAACTGCTGTTTGCACTGTAATTCCTTCCAGACTTCACTCCCATCTGTCTCAGGACGTAGCCATTTTGCTCCTGAGAATTGCACACGCAATAAATGCCGTGGCACAGTGCCCAGGCAGGGCCTGTGTCTGATTAGACACTGTGGCTTATTTCTGGCCACCAATCCTCTTATATAAACATCACTGCTCCAGCACTGGGCTGTAATGCTGAGTGCCTTTCACAGAGATGACATAGCATTTCTGAGCCACGGAAATTTCTCCCATGCATTTCAACTTCACATTTCACTTAGTAACTTGAGCAAGATAAGGCAGAAAATTATGTAGCAACCTTTGAAACTCTTAGCTGGGCTCCAAAGCCAAAAGCAAGCGGCACAGTAAAGATGAGCTTGGCAGATTTGTTTTGCAGTTCATATGTTTTTAGCACCTAGCCAATGATCCACAAATGGGAAGCTTAAGCTGAAGGATCAGGAATGGCTCTGACAGCTTGCTGGGGCTCAAATTTTTATTTGTAGCTGATGTGATTTTGCCCTGATTTGTCTGCTATAAATAACCTGCTGCTTCACTGCTGTCATACAAGCCCAACAGCTTGTTCAGGGCAATGATGCTGTGTGCTGGGGCTGAAATTTGTGCAGCAGAGTTAAACTTTCAGGCAGACAAAGGTGAAACAAATCATCGTGCAGCAGAGTTAAACTTTCAGGCAGATAAAGGTGAAACATATCATGAAAGCCAATCTAGCTAGAAAACTGACCTCCAGATTATTATTCATAAAAACAGAGCTTTATCCTCCTTCCATGCTCCTCTAAGGTGTATATCTGAACAAAAGAACCAAGCAGCACCTAAATACAGCTAAAACTAAGTAGAAACACAGACTTTTAAGATGCAAAGAAATCTAATCTCCAGCATACTTTGTTTGGAAAAGATCTTTTTAAGCTTCCACTTCGCTTTTGTTAGGCATATGTGAAATCTGCTAAAACCAGCAGATGTGTTTCTCATGATGAGAAGGAGCTACTGAGTGACTTGCCAGGCATTACCAGGTGTAAACACTGAGTTTCCCTTGCTTATTTGAAAAGGAATTGCAGTAATGAAACCCAGAGACTTTATCCTCAGGAGCTAATTCCACTGAAGTATTCCACAACTTAGTGACAGGAGCTAGAGTGACAGCAAAGAAGTAGAATGAGCTCCAAAGACTTTCCAGGAATACAGTTGCTCACTGTTGACTACTCTGAGGGCACTGGAGTAAAATTTGACAGTAAAGCTTAGAAAATTGTGTACAGAACACTGTAGCAGTGCCACATGGGCAGTTAGGTACAGGCACAATGCTAAGGTGTTTCTCTTCCAAGTAGACATTTATTCTGTGACTATTTTCTTTCACAGCCTCAATTTGTACCTGCATTTGTAGCATGCTCAACATACAGGTGGCACTTAGGACATTTGCTCCCTTTCCTCACAGTGAAAAAGCTGAGAAAAATCACTTTAGAAAAGTGAATTTCAGCTTGAGGATCCACTGATTTACAGCACACTTGTACATGGGGCCACCTTATTAAACAGAAAAACACAGTGCACCAAAATCTTTGTACATGCCATCACTGTGTGCACAAAGAAATGGTTTTTAGGCCTAAATATATACTTCCCTTTCTCCTCTCTCATCAGAACAGATGATTCAGGACTTTGCAGTGCAACGAACCAAGGCTGATCTCATTTCACACAGATATAGTTTCTGCTTTAACAAGGATGATAATACAGAAAGAAGATAATAGTATATTATCTTGTTATATAGTAAAAAGAGATAATAGTGTACTAAGATTAAAATCTATTCAAAAGAAATATTATCTTGATAAACCAGAAATTATGTTAAGTGTTAAAGATGCAGCGTTTGAATGAACAACTGCAAGTCTTTGTGCTGTTGAACAGAAAATGTATAAAGTAACCTACCACAAATACACTGCCAATGTTGTTCTTCCTCCACAGATTTCACAGGGGTTAAGAATTTGCTTAAAAATACTGTGAATTTAAATTTTCAGTGCAGTGGATATTTAAATTAATACACATGGGCACTGAGTTTTCTCAACAATAATTATATTAGACTGTTTAACTGAGCTTTAATGCAACTTTAAACTGTTGATATCTGTTTACCAGTCAGCATGATATCACCTTCTTCCAAACAGAAAATGTCCCTAAAGCATTCTCTGCTGTGTGCAAACTCCTGTGGATCCAGTGGCACATCAACTGCTGGAAAACTGTCAAATCACATCTCATTCAAGACAGGTCAGAAGAAACACATATGGATATTTTAGAGCTGACAGCTGAATTTGTAATGCAATCAGCAATTTCAAAAGTCCTGGATCTTGTAGGTCCTCTTTCATTAATACCTTAAATTTTGATTCATTTTCCTTAGGAGTAGGTAACTCACTTTTGCAAAAATCAAGTGCCTCTGAAGTAGAATTTAAACAAATGAGACAGTAAAAAAAAAAAAA